CTTTGCCTCTAGGCAATATTTTTGATCCAATTCACAGACTGAGGAGCACATGCCTTGACATTATTGAGGGAGGGAAGTTTAAGTTGAAGAACTGGGGTTTGCTTTTAGTTTTGAACGTAGTTAGGCCTGTGGTCATTTTATGTGCTTTGGGAATGAACCTCCATAGGTTGTGACAGCTACTGGGATATTTCTATGAGTAAAATGTACAAAGCTCCCCATTAATTGGCAGTTTCATAAAAGGTATTGCAGTTACATAAAGCTCTCCTCTCAAGCAAGGAAGGAGAAATGTTCTGCCCAGCTAATGGATGACTTCTGACTGGATCTGAGTTCAGCATAGAGTCATTGCAAAGATCAAATTGCTGGGATGGTCCATGAAGACAGAGCAGTCATACTGTGGTTACTGCCAGCTGCATCTTTCATTAATATGGTGCCCTGCAATAATCAAATTGAGAGATCACAAATAGGCGAATCTTTAAAATTAGGCAAGAGGTGCCCTGAAGCATACAGCTGTAAAAAATTCTTGCCACCATTGTTATTTTCTTGTATCACTCAGAAACCTGAAAATACTCTTAAGACATTAAGCTGCAGGTTGATGCTGTCGGCAGATGGGTGATGCTATAAAAATTACAGTTCCTTTAAATGTTTCTGTCTTCTAATTAGTATCACCTAAGTCTTGTTTCAGTTTTATACCCACATACATGCCCTCCTGACTGGAATCATCCTTCCTGTCATGATAACTTGTGCAGAGTCCTTGGTAAGTTTGAATCAGGTTTTAAGATTTATTGATCTGGCCTTGTCCATTCTGTGGTGTGTTCTTTGATTTAATTTAATGACCATAAAGCATTCAGGCATGTTGGCATGAAGGGTGCACTGGAAAAAAATAAGTGATTGATTGACTGATTGATTGATTATGTAGAGACATAATAATTCTCTTCATAGTTAACAATGAAGCTAGTTTTCTGTTACACACATTTGTGTCTTCCCAGGCAAACATTTCTTAACTAAAAGTAAACCACTCTACCTGCAGATATGAATCAGATGTGGAAGCAGTTATGCTCTTGTGTAAGGATTAAAATTGTCTGTTTTAAAGATACATGCAAATAAAAATGAAATGCAATCCAGAAGGGAAGGTTCAAAGCACAAACAGGATGTCCCTTCTCCAGCTCTCTAAGACAGTTTTCACATCACCACACTTGGATAGTCCTGGGAAGAACTGAATTCATATTGTTGCCTGCTTTTATAAGTCACAAATAATGTTTTCTCTTTATATCTGTGTGTGTTTTTGTGTGTGTGTGCACCCTGTGGCAGAGGTACAGCAGTCACAGGAAAACACCAAGCTCAGAAGCTACTGAGTGGTTGTAACAGGAGGATAGATAGAAACAACATGAAATCTGCTCCTGAATATGTTGAAATGTACCAAAGAACAAAAGGCAGCCTAAGCTAAAAAAAAAAAAAAAAACCAAACCAACAGAAAACAACAAAACCCACTGCAATGACAGGGTGCTCATTCAAGCAGATTATGCTTGTATTGGCAATACACAAGCTAAATACATGCACTTTGAACCTTTCTCAATTTATTACATCAAGTACAGGGTGACAAATATTATTGGCATTTAAATTATTACTTCTGGGCAAATAAGTTAGAACCTTGCTGAAATGACCGGGGAAATTCACACACCATTTAGACCTATGCTCTCACCTCTCCAGAGAACAGTTTATTTGTTACACATACTTTCCATTCTAGAAGTTTTCTTCACAATTAGAACAGCCAGAGATCTGACCCACTTTCATTTTCTACATGACAAGTGAAATTCCAGAGAATAGGTAGGTAGCTCTCAAAGAGATTTTGCTGGATTACGTGAGTATGCAGTGTCTGTTTCCAAGCCCTAGACTATACTAATCACATGCTTTCAGTACCTTTGTTGGATTGTCTATAAATTTAGGAAGGTCATGGATATTGTGTTTTCACATTATAATGTCTATATTGAATGCGTTCCAGCTACATCCTTTAAGGAACGGCAGGCAATGCAACATAACCTCCCCAAATAAAACTTTTTGTCTCATAATTCACCTAGCTCTCCACCACAGCTAATGTGTAAGCATTTCTGAAGGAGCTGTAAAGGGAAGAAATGGTGCTAAACTCCTTTTAAAATTATCCAGTCTAAGCTAGTGCTGCACACAATAAATCACATTGTCCTGAAATTCCTAGATTGGGGAAATGGGCCATGGCCCCACAGTTATCAGTATTACAATGCAAAATACAGCTCTTACAGTAGGAATAACATGTTTCTGGCACATTTCTGCTTTCTTCAAACTTGTTGGTACCACACTGAATTCCCAATCAAGCACCAATGGCATTTTATCATCGGTGTCCCACCAATGTCTCTTACTCTTTCCATTTCTCCCAGTCCCCTTCACATTTCTCACAGACCTGTAACTTCTTTATATCTCCTTCCCACAGATATTGCCTCCTTACCTTTTCCCAAACATTGATACATCTAAACAAATTACTCTTTTGCATTGGCCTCTTTGGCTTACATTTGTATCATCCTGTCTCTGACCACTGTAGGTCCCCTTCCCAATTTGCCTATTGTCTTCAGATATCCTTTTGAACATTTATCTCCTAGCTCTCTGACTTTCATCACTTTCTTATTTCTTACTTCAAGCAGATCAACATCAAATTGGTTTCTCTCTCATCTATCCCTCCTTAACTTCTTTTTTTCTGACATCCTCTGAGCTTCTACCTTGTTCAAAGGACATTAAGGAAACAGAAGAATAGAAATAGGAGGATGGCTGTGGAAAAATGCAGGAGGACTTAGTGTGATAGAGAGACTGACAACTAAGATGGCAGATGAAATTCAAGGCCAATAAATACAAAATATTACAAATAAGAAAACTTAACATATAAAATGATGACCTCAGAGCTGCCCATTGCCATCCAACAAGATTTGGTGTATATAATAAATAGTTCTATGAAAACATCACTCTGGTGCTCAGCAACAGCCAAAGAAACATGCAGACTGTTAGGAGTCAATGGGGAAGGAACAGAAAAGAGAAAGAAATCCATGCTACACTTGCACCCTGGATACTGTATGAGGATTTGGTCCCTCATCTCAAACATGACAAAGCAGAACTAGTAGAAAGTGTTCAGAGAAGAATGGCCAGGACAATGAAGAGACATCAGGCAGGCCCTATATGAGGAATACGTAACTCAGGTGAAAAACCAGAGAATTAAGGATGGGACAGAATGACTGAAGCGGGGGGTAAAATCTTCATGGGACATGTAGATACTAAACAGATACTACATTGGCATTGAAGGCTAGTGGGCAGAGGGCTCAGAACAGGCAGAAAGAAGATGGCTTAGCATTTTGTGTACAGTAACTTGTGGGACTTCTTGCTACAAGAGGTCACAGAGACTAGTGGGTACGAGGCTATAGTGTTTATAACTCAAAAATTACTAGGCACTTCCATAGAAGGAAAACCTATTAAGGGCTATTAAATACAAAAATATCACACCTGGCTTAGGAAGTCCTTGAGTTGCAAATGATTAGAAGCTGGAAGATCATGCTGGGGAAATAACACTTTTATCACTGTATATATTCTTCCCTAGGTATTCGCTGTTGTTCTCTATCAGAGACAGGATATTGAGCCAGATAGACCTTTGGTCTGACCCCATACAGCCTTTCTTATGTTCTTGTGTTTATATTCTTAACTGACCGTATGGATGCTCCTTTCACTTTCACCTTCCACTATACAATGCCAAAAAATCCCTCCTCCCTACAGCAGCAAACTGAGAGGGAGAAAAAATATCAGTCCCAGTACATCTTTGCTGAAAAATCCTTCCTAGATAAATTTGGGTACTTATTTACTCTTTTAATCTACTGTCAGACTGGTGTCATTGCTGAAAAACCATTCACTCTGCAGCTCTGGTCACCTGAAACAATCTGTGCAGACCTCTCCCCTTTCAGCAATTCCTTATCTCCTTCTAAATTCTCATCTTAAAACCTGACTTTCCAGCCTGCCTTCAACCCCTCCATTTCTGTCTCTCCTGGTTATTGGTCTTATGACTGAATGCTTTAATATTTTCACCATGCAAGGTCTTTATGTCACTGTTTCATGTAATTTATACCTGTGAGCTGGAGCCTTTCCCATCTTGCTTTCAAGCACTGGCCATATACTGCACGGAGGCCGAAATGATCCCCACCCCCTTATTGCTTTGGGGGTTTGGCTTTATTAACAAGGATATAAGCAATAAGAAAATAAAGTTCAGCTATTTCTAAGGCTTCTCCCTCATGGCTGCTCAGCTAGCATCTTAGATGGCCTCTCCCCAGCAAACCATTTTTATCTCCCTTTTACACAAGAGAACTAATAAGCCACCTACCTCAATGAGTCAGCAGAACCCACTTAACCCTTTCTCACAAGGGTCAAAACTCGCTATCAGGACAGTCTAGCTCAGACTTGTTACAGAACCATATTCTGCCCCTCGGTCTTGAATAATTTATTTGTGCAGCAGACCTAGATTAGTGTTTAAATCAAAATGCTGCCCAAACAAAGGCTGTGCTGTACAGTGCAAAATGAAACCAATTACTACATCATCTACTGCTCGTCTTTTACAGCGTGAGATGCCCCCTACAGTACTGCAGAGGACAGGCTTGTCTGCTGGGAACATCCAGGCACAGGAAGCAGGAGAGGGATTTTTCAGAGGGAATCAGCCTTTGATAAAAAAGTAAATTCAGTGCCAGAAGGTATTGCACACTTCCACTTTGATCCATCAAAACTTAAGACCTTTTCTAGGATGAAATTAAAGCAAGCTTCAAATATGTCTATGCAGAGCTGTTTTCTGCAGAGCAACTTTACCAGGGATGAAGGAAAGAGGAAAATGCCTATCCTAACATGCACTGCAGAAATTCAATATAAATTCTCAGAATGTGGCTCAAGGCCTGGAATTTCACTACTTTAAAAATAAGAATTCACAGAAATATGCAGAAACAAGAGATGGATTGTATTATATACCATTTTATAGTAGAAGAGCATTATAAACCATAGAGCATCTCTGCATGCCTGAAACATTAGCACAACCATGTCCCTTATATATTTCAGAAATGTAATCTGAGTTTACTAAAAAAAAAACCCAAATCCCAAAACAACCCACACAAGTAAGTGATTTCTCTTATTTTTTCTACCTTTGTTACTGGTTAATCACCTGATTGTGAGACTCCATTCACCTGACAATAAGTAGCTATCATTTACCCCAGTCCTGGCTGTCAGAAAGAATCATCTTTATCTTCAGAGAAGCAGGGATAATGTCTGATCAGTGAGTTATAGTTGAGAGAAATGATTCTAAGTTTAGGAAAATTGCCAGCTGCATTTTGTTATCAGTAACCATTATTTAGATAGCATTGCTGATGTGTGTAGCGCCATACAGACAGGGACAAAGAGCAGGCCCTTGCCCTGTGGAGATTGCTGTCTGCATTACACAATTAAAATAGGGAGAGGTACTAGCATAATGGTAATGGTGAGCTCTAAGCATCACAGTAGGAGGGAAAAGAGATTACAAGAAAAAGACAAACTTCCTGTGAGAGAGCACTACTGCATCATCCCTCCATTGTTGTTTTAGATTCAGCTCTGCCAGAGGGCTTTGTTGGTTCAAAATACAGTCTGTACAGAAGAGGGAACTGATAATTCCAGAGTCAAAGTCAGTAGAAACTGGCCTATGTGCTTATAAGAGAGAGGTGGAGGATGTTGACTGGTGAGGGTTGGGTGCTGTGGTGTGGAAAGACACACAAGTGATGCTGTGGCAAGCTGGTGGGTTCTGTCAGACAAGCTCACAAGGCTCTGCAGGGCATGGAAAGACCCAAGGCTCTTAACCTGGAGTACTCAGTTACCATGGAGGCTGGGCTTGTTCCTGTGTGGCTCAGGATACAAAGAACACTTTAACTGTAAGATGCCACTTGAACCTACCACCACCTCCTAAAAACAAGCTTCCAGGTGCCACCTTCACAGACACAATACTTCTCCTTAGGTGTAAGATGCCTTACACCTACAGTCTAATTAAACAATTTTATTATGAGGTTAGTGTGTGTATTGCTCCTCTCTTTCAAGGCAATCATGTTGAAAATTAATCAGACTATAAACACAAAAGCATTGACTTAAGCTGAGCTGCATACATAACCAAAGTGAAGTCAATACTCAGCCTACACTAACACTAATCCTAACTCTTTCTCTTTAACTACATCAAAAAATTATTTTTGTATGGCTGCTAATATTACTGCATTTTTCCTTTGTTGACTTGAAGTTATTAGGAGGAACCAACCATACTGGAGCAGAGATGACTCCATCTAATAGAAAACAATGAATACATTCATTACTGCACTGAACTTCTAAACAGGAGGTATCTTCTTTTTTCTAGTATTCCACTTTGCTTCTGCTACTTAGTCAAGTAAAACAGAACATGTATTCCCGTAAACTGTCTTATTTCTCTAGACATTTGTAAGGCTGGTGCAGAAAATGGAGCCTGGTAATATCTTCTCAGTCGTATAAAGTAAAACTGATTAAGAGAAAAACATTCTTTAAGTTCCTAGAAAAGGCTGTTGGCTTCTTCCATTTATGATCAAAAAGATCCTAGAAAAAACATGTCCAGTCTTTAATGACACAAGGAAATTGAAATAACCAAAATGGGATGTGATTGGTCTTTTGACTTGAGGTGTCACCATTACCTGCTTTTGCTGCTGAAACATCGTCTGGCTCCTAATGGCTTCTAACATTGTGTTCCTACCTACATTGATCATTTAATACCAGCATCTTCTTTCTGAAAAACCACAAACACTTGCAGAACTTGACCTCTTCCCTTCATCGCTTTTGATTAAGAAGAGAACTATCTGCAGGAAATGCCCTACAAACCACAAAGGATTATCAAAAATATAATGATGAGTGAGTGATTCAGGGACTCTGTAGCTTTGCTTGTGTTCCTGTAGTCTGATCTTGGTCACTCTTCCCTTCTCCGCTGCAGCTTTGCTGTAGTTTCTTCTAGTCGGCTTCTCCAAGCAGCAATAATGGCATCATCATCCATCTCTTCTTCCTCTTCTTTACGTGTGCTTCGCCTGTACTGAGAGACCTGCCTAGATGCAAACCTTTCTTCACTTTGCTCCACTTTTGCCTCCTTCTTTCCATCCTCTTCAGACTTTGAAAAGCTCTGGGTGAACTTTCTCTTTGCTCCACATTCTGACACGTCTGACCTGGCCTCCTCTTCACATGCCTCCACATGATGAGCTCTAACTCGGCTCTGTGTAGATGGTTCAGGGGATTCAGATTCAAAGGGTGGTTCAGGTGACTGGCTGAAAACATGCACCTCTGGGCTGTTTCCTCTGGAACTTGTCTCACTGACCCTGGACCTTGTGAACTTGTACATCTTTTTGTCCTCTTTTGCAGAAGCAGAGGAAAATCTTGACATGGTTCTCAGTGAATCTCCTGTTGACTCATAGGAAGAACAGCTATCTTGCTCTTTTCTTTGGGATCTGCAGAATCTGTAACTGGATGTCTCAGAATCCATCTGTCTAATTTTGGATGATCTGCTATATTTCTCTCTAGCTTTCTCAGACTGATCATAATATGATGGTGGTTCTCTTTCTGCTTTCAGGCCATTGAGCCACTTGGAAATATCAGTATCTACCTCTGACTTCAGTGCACCTGAGGTTGCAGGTTGACTAGACAGATCAAAGACTGCATCAGTTCTGTCAAAATCTGCTTGCAAGGGACACCTGTGGCTGTTTGTTGTACTCTCTCTGTCATCTTCTGTTTCATTTTCCTCTGCTTTGGTCACCTTTTTTTTGAATAAAGTGCTGCGTTTATTGTCTCGGATCACCTTTTCAATTTGATAGTCTGACATTTTTTCTCTCATTTCCATTTGCATCTCCTTCTCCTTCTTCCTGAGTTTCTTTAGGTCAACATCATCAGCAAAGAGGCTGTACAGTGGTTTGCTTGTCTGGGTCATCTTCATGTTTGAAGTAGCCCCTTCTGTCCTTGCACTCACGGAGGTATTGCAAGACAGCACAGATTGAGACTCAGCCCTGCGCAGGTCCTGCTGGTGGAGCTGAGAGGCAGCAAGGGATGAGCCACTCTGAGCACTGAGAAGAGAAGCCTTGTCATCATCTGCACGCCTGCCAAGGTCTCCTGACAGGGAGGCCATGGCGGACGATGGACGGGACAGCATCAGGATCTCATTTTGCTTTTGAGCAATGGTTTCACTGACCACGTTAGCGATCCAGTTCTGAATGCTTGCCATAGATATTGTGTCACCTGGGCCAACTGGGAGATTGGGAAGGGGTATATTTGGCATTTGCAGCTGCATTGCTCCAGTACAACTCCTGGTCTGTGACAGAGATGAATGATTTGTCTGCATACTCAGGGCAGAAGCTGCATCGTCGGCACCACTTGCAGAAGGCGCTGAAGCCCAGAAAGCTGACAGGGGAATACTCCCACTCATTGTGCTCTCTGTCTCCCAGCTGCACATGGACTGGCTTTCTTCTAAAATTTTCTTTGAACGTTCAAGGAGCTCTACACGCCTCTGCTTCTTTTTAGCTGAAGCAGAATCCTCAGTTTTGGCAAATTCCACAAATTCCTCCTTGCTGCTTTCACTGCCCACCTTCTTCTGCCGCTTCATCTTCCAAGCCTGGTAAGCAGTCAGATCAATATCTGACAAACTCTTCCCTTCTGTTTCCTCCTGACCTGCCTGGCTGCCATCCTCTGCTGGAGATGGTGCAGATGATGGTTCTAAATCCTTCTTGTGAAAGCCAAACTGGATCCTCTTGACCTTCCACCTTTCTAGAGGAGTCAACTTGTCCTTGTTCTTTTGGCAGAAATTGTAGAAGGAGCTACAGGAGGAGTCTGAAAACACACTCTCCTCATCCACTTCCCTCTCCTTTCTTCCCATTTCTGGGGATTGTCTTTCCCCATGGGTTTTATTCCTAGAACGATACCTCTGAGCAGCTTCTTTCTCAATCTCCAGAAGCCTCTGATTCCACATGTCCCAGGTGCTCTCAGAAGACATAGAGCCTGTGCGGCTCCTCCTCATCCTGCTAAATCTACTGGCTTCCAGCTGTTTTTTTAGGGTTCGAATCTCAAAACTGCTCACACTCTCAACATCACTGAATTCACCTGATGGGTAAGGTCTTTCTCCCATGCTGCATTCATCATTCTCCTCCCTGGCTGTACCCGCCATCTGGTATTTCTCATTTCTGCGCTGCCAGTCGTGGATCCTCCATTCCACATCCTCATCAGATTGCTCCTCTTCCTGATCCAAATGCTTTGGAGATGTTTTTCTTTCATGGTGAACTCCTGCTTCCTTTTCAGATAGGCCTTGTTTCCTCCTCCATTCCTCATACAATTGTTCCTCTTCCTCCTCACTGATCAGGGTGGAGTGTTTCGAAACCCAGCTAGTTTTTTCCACTGATGAGGAGCTCATAAAACTACCCAGAATGCTGCTGGTGTCCTCTTCTTCTACTGTGATGGAGTGAGCTTTGGCTCCCTTGATGCTCCCTGAGTCCCCAGCTCCAGACAGCCGTGAAGAAGTCCCTGCACAGGCAAGAGGACTTTGTCTTGGAGTCACGTCCTCATCTCCAGAACGCTCCAGCTCTCGCTCCTCCAACAGCTGCTCATTGAGCTCCCGCAGCTGCTTCAGGAAGCCATCGTTGGGGTAGATGGCACGTTTCTTCCTCAGGGTCATCAGAGCCTCCAGAATGGTCATGTGGTGGTAGATCATCAGGTAGGCAGCCACCAGCACAGCTGAGCGGCTGATCCCCATCTCACTGCTGACAAGGATTCTGCCTACAAATAGTGAATATGAAAGGCATCAGCTATTTCCAATAACAGACAGGATGCTCTGGTATGTAGCACAAAAGTATTCAAGTATTCTGTGCATACTGTTAAGAACTACACTGAATATATGTTTCAGTGACTTAAACCAACACTAAATATTCGCTAGCTTTACCTTAATACAAATCTGGACACATACGAATAAAAAGCACATTAGTTTCAAAAACTGTGGGCAGGCACATTTCCAAACAATCTAAATAGTATTTGTATTTTCGCCTGCACACTGCACTTACTCAAATAGTCAAAAAGCTTATAATAGGTATTAGAAAAGGCAAGTGAGATATTCTTGACTTGCTGGCTGATATAGGGTCAGACATTTAAGCTTTCCATGCTTTTTTTCTCAATATGTAAAAATGAGATGTTAGAATTAGCCTCCAGGGAAGATAAGCAAATAACTTATTTTTTTCTACAAGGGACATTATGGGACTTAAATAACAATTTTATATTAATTTAACTGTATTTTTGCCAGAATCTAGATCAGTTTTGAAGGTACCCTCAAACAATTACTTTGAAGACTGACTGGAGGCCAAAGTCCTGTTATATCTTACAAGAGCAGAACCAAGCAACTATCAGAAAAGAGCTGATTTTGACTCTGACAAACTTTCCAGATGCTTCAAACTACTGGCACCCACTGTCCTGCACCAGTAACTGTATGAGCAAGAATTAAAACTGAGGATCTGCTTTATTTTATAGCATTTACTACCTCTTGCAGAAAACCAAGCTTTGGCACAGAGAAATTGTTTGGAGTTTAAGTTACTTGTATGGCAAATTACAGCTAAAGAAAAGCTTGTAAATATGAAGAGAGTGTAAATGAGGCTTTGCTAGCTTGCAAGCAACTGAAATTACTGCTTCTAAATGTGTGATAAACTCCAGTTTAATCAATCTGTTTGCATTGAAACTTAATGAAGCCAATTTAAGCACCATCTTTCCAAACTGCTGATATGTTACCACAAGAGGTTTACCTAATGAACCTCTTCCTACAATCCTGAAATCTCTTTAATACCTTAGCATCAAAAGTCTTGGTTGCCTTCCAAGAGTTTTACCAGCCAGCTAAGCCAATCTAACAACTCACCAGGAGGGGGAGATCTCCTTCCTTTCATGTCTTCCAAGGCTTGTCTGCCTTGGTGTATCCTCCTCGTGTTGTTGAGCTATTAAAACTGTCTGCACGTTCCTTGCATACTAAAAAAGCTTTACACTTTTCTTACTGTCACTACTGCTAGGAGGTAATCTGTTTCGTCTCCACAGAAATTAGATTAATTGACAATTTATATGAAGAATATCAGTGATATCACAGACCCTAGTGCTTCTTTCAACACTGAAGTGCAAAAAGATATTTCTAACTGTCCACTGAATTTGCAACAAAATGACCAGTGTGCACTGCAGGTCCACAGAATAACAGTTGCCATGGAATTGAAGTCCAGCAAATCTGACAGCAGCCTGGGTGTAGACACCCAGAGGTTCAACTCAGCCACTTGAATTGTTCTAGTAAATCAGCCTGGCTTTTTGCATCATGGCGAAACTGAAACATGCAGAGTACAGGAATACATCTATCTATCTATCTATCTATCTATCTAGAGTATTATTAGAATATAAATATTTTTAGAAAATGTATTAGAGCAGGGATTCTACTCTTTTCTATAGTCAGGTTCTTTCAAATCAGCTGCAGAAGCTGACTTGCAGCCACTTTGAACCTGAAGCCATGGGGCTGCTGGGCTGCCTCCCCTTGCCAGTTTGCTCCTTCCTGTTTTGAATGAGACCGGGCAGAAACAGGCAGCAGGTGTTCACCGTCATGCTCTGCCTTCTACCCACTACAAATGTGGCATATCAACTGTTTATCAGAGTAAGGTTTCTCCCAAGCAACCTGGAACCACTTCAATCTTCTCCTCTTACCTCTGTAAGTCAACAGGGCTTCGTCAAGGAACTCTGCAGCTGGGCGGAAGTGTTTGGAGATATCTGTATCTGGAAAATCATCCACTTCAATACCTAAGTACTGGATATTGAGACCATTGTAGAAATTTGGACCTGTGTAGACACCTGTGCCATGAGCTGCATTCAGGACATGGGTGATGCCCAGTCTCTTCAAACGGCTTTTGTTTACTGCAACACTTCTGCAGAAAAGGAAAAAACATATTATATATCAGTGCTCCTATTTTAGGTGGCGAAAAAAAGCTGCATGCTACAAGGTCTGCATAATTCTTTGTCCATGTTACTCATTCAGCATGAGGCACCACTTAATCTTTAATGTCCTTCCAGAGTTATACACGTATTTCTTTCCAATACTCACCACAAAAAGAAAACAAGAAGCCTGCATTCACCTGCAGAACAATTTGCTCTGTTTCCACTCCAGCTTGGTTTGCAACTCATACTGCCATCCTAGGTTCAGGCTATGTACTTATTTATCAATTTTTATCACTCCATAATTGATGCTTTACTCTACATTCCCTTCTAATTCTGTCTGTTCACTTACACAGGTATCTCAGACAGCTGAACCATGGTACAGGAGACCTAATCATGTTACTTGACATTTGCTTTGGCATTACCTTTTAAACTCCCTTTTACATAAGAAAGACTTTAGTTCCAATTTTAGGGCCTAAATTCCAATCAAAGCTGTGGAATTTGGGTTTATTTGTCTTTTCTTCTCTCAAGCTGTTGAAGCATCTAAACAGCATAGGAAAGCTGCTGATTCTATTCCAGAAGTATTTACTTTCCAGTGCATAGAGATTTCTGTGAGCACAGTCTGAAAAACACTTTAGAGCTCTCTAGGGATGAAAGGTATTAGATGCATGTAATACATGTTATGTCTTCAATGGTTCCATTTGACCCTTTACTGGGAATCTCGTGCAACTTGATGACAGAAGCCGACACTCACTTTTCTGCTATGAAGACGTTAGGCCAGACTTCATCCACAGCGTCCCTGGGGGTCTCCAGCCTGTCCTTCACAAGTGCCCTCTGCAAGTCCATCACACACGGCGTGTTAAACAAGCTGGTGTCATCAATCTTTTCCTTAACTCGGTTGTACAGGTCTTCCACCATCAGCTGCTGCGCAGACTCCAACATCCTGGGACACACTGAGTCTACCCTGACGTCCTTTGTCTTTAGCTCTGGAATAAACTGACATTGTAACTAAAAGCACACAAACACAATGCAAATGTATGAGCTATCATTACTTGTGCCTGGGACAAGCCTCGGGGCTTTTCTTCCCCAGAAATATCACCCTGTTCTGTCTGCAATGTGGGCAGGTATGTGCTCACCTAGGAACTGCCTTGGGGTAATTAGCAAGGAGAAGGGCACATTGCACTCAGCCCCACACTGGCCGAAGGCCTGGGAGTTACAGGTACCTTTATTCCAGGCCCAGAAGAAATGCAGCTGCTGTCTACGCCTTCCTGAAGAGGGGAAGTGGAGAGGGAGCTGCTGAGCTCCTCTCCCTGGTATCCAGTGATCAGACATGTAGGAATGGTTCAGAGCTGAGCTGGGGAGATTCAGACTGGACATTGAGAAGCACTTTTTCTCTGAGAGAGTGGTCAAACACTGGAACAGGCTTCCTAGGGAGGTGGTTAATGCCCCATCCTTGACAGTGTTTAAGAGGTGTTGGACAGTGCCTTAATAATATGATTTAACTTTTGGTGAGCCCTGATAGCTGGACTTAGATGATCTCATATGTCCTTTAATCTGAAATACTCTATTTTGTTCTGTTATATTCCATTCTACTCTAATTTGGTTTGTTGCAGTGAGCAACCAGCACTTTTACCATTGCAGTACACAATTCTGCCATAGATTCATCACACAACTTCAAAGGAAGTCACCAAACCTTTCTGTAAGTTGTTATTTCTTTCTCTACTTCAGATGGAGTTTTCTCATAAGGGCTTTTTTATCATTTAGGATCTGTAGATGAGAAAGGCAAAACTAGTACAACTTCAGGTCTCTGTAACTTACATAGTCCCTTACCTTCACTGATGATTTGTTTGGCAGCCACAGCAGATGACAGATGGATTGGCTCCATGAAGATGCTCTCTGTATCAGTGTCTGATATCACTGAATACCTGCCAACCAACCACACTGCCAGTTAGGTAAATGCCCTCCAGAGAACTGGAGCAGGGAGGATTCTTTGATTGTAGAAGGGAATCCCACCTCTTCTCCCACATTTCAATCCCACCCCAAACTCCAGCATGGCACTACAGGCTTCAAAGATGCCTTGGCATCCAGTGTTTGCAGGATGTAGACAGGTGCCATGGGGAGAAGCTGCAGTGGGCTGGGAGTTCCTGGGCTGGGCTCCTCCATCAAATTGCCTGGTGGAGGAGTTTATGGGTAGAGAAGATCAGTGTCTGGTTTGAAACTGGGGTGGGGATGGATCACAAGAAATAGTCTCACAAGTAACTGCCACTTAGACAGACATAAACATGGTTCTAACTAGAATTTATTGAGTAATTCAAAAGAGATTGAACTAGAAAACTGTTGGGTTTTCATTCTGCCAGGTAACTGCCTGCAAGCATCCTTTGAGCTACCACAAGCTGCAGTGAAAGCATTGAGATTGAAGCCCATGAATCTCTCCCTCAGTATTTTGTACCTTGGGCACTTCAGAGCATGAGCCTGTGGTCAGTCTCTCCACTTGCTCAGTGTTGTGTAAGTGTGGTCAGAAACCACTATGACACCCACAAACACCTTTGAAGTAGGTTGTTTAACATAGTGTAATAAGTTTTTGTTAAGCAAAAAAGGCCACAACCTTTACAACAAGTATATTTCCCCTCTGTGTCCACCTATACAGTCCAAGAAAATTCAGTCTCTCAGACCATCTTAACAAAATATTTTACAGAGCTTTTTCCCTGATCTACATCCTCTACATTCACTGCCTCCCAAATAGATGGTACAAATCACTAGGACAAGTTTGCTGCCATCACAGAAGCTCTCTGGCAATGCAATGCTTGCAGACTTGCCATACACTGTTTGTTTTTGTTTAATTAAAGCAGGAGAAGGAGGGTGATTAATATGCAGTCAGGGTGTCTGGAGAGCTTAACTGTTTTCAGGCTCCAGAATCAAAACAGAGGGCACAGCCATCAGAAACCACTTAACAGGCTCATCCAGGTCATTTAGTTGAGTTTCCAGCACTTGTCAACCGTGACTGAAAGTAATCCTTCCCTAGTTCTTCCAAGGAGTTTACCAGATGAGCAAGGGGAGTCTCAGTCTCATTTACAGGAGCTGACACAAATTTGCAGCTGTGCCCTGCCTTCGATTCCTTTTGCTTAAATGTTGCCTCCAAACTCAATAAAAAGGTAACAGTTGGCAATAATCCACCACCACAGCCTCAACACGTTTTACCTGTGGCTGCCCTGAGCACCTGTGAAACACAGATCTGCCCAAGCTTGGGTCTTTCAAGGACCCCCTTCTGGTGGGGAAGGATCTTGCCATTTTCATCACTGTGTTTTGCCACTGACAGCAAGCAAAAAAG